CACTTAATGAATTTAGTGAACTAGCTCTACAATTTGGCGTTATCATATACTCACTAGTCAGGTTTAGTTTCACCAACAGCTCACTTGATTTATAGACGTGGAATAAAGTTAGTTTTTCTTGTCCTCTGTGTTAAAATACCTAGATCTAGGTGTCAGACACAGAAGGTAATGATAGAAAACAACAGCGTATCATTTTTCTCACTAGTGACATGAGAATGTTAGTGAGATTTTTATAGAATAAAGATGTAACATAATGCCTCGAGACTTTTTACTATACATGAAGATGCGATTTTTATGTCCAGTAAGTGACTAAGCGATGCAATGTCTAATAATAAGTCTTGTCTTCGTCGTACTCGAGTCCGAAGATTAGTGAGGAATGCAGTATTTCCCGTGGCTGCGCAGCCCCATCTGTGACCTACATATTTTGCCACAACCAGGGCAAGCGTAACCATTCTCCGCAGGTGGTCAATTTAGATTTTCTTTTCGCCGTCTGCGTTTGTCCTCGGCAGCGGATTTTCTTTTGGTCTCAAATGTATCCCGCGGCCTTTGTGAGTGACCTCCAGCTGACTCGTTCTGAGGCCACATGCAACCAGGTGCTCTCTATTATGTCAGCTAAGGCAAGTTGGCGCCTAAGCTGGTCTTTGAAGCGTTTCCGTGGGGCGCCTCTGTAACGTCGACCACCTTTTAGCTCACCGAAAAAAGACTGTCTTTGGCATACGTTCGTTTCCCATACGGGATACGTGCCCTGCCCAGCGTAACTGTCGGACCATAAGAAGTGCCTCTACAGTACTCTACACTGTCCATACCTGCGTTCGCAAGGACATCACTGCTTGTAGTGCGGTCTTGTCTAATAGGGAAATAGAAAATACCCGCCATGTTGTTGTATTCGTCCCTGTAGTGGCCCTGAACACTCCCGTATTCATACGTATATAGTAGGAAAATTCGCCTCATTATTTCAACGCAATAAACTCATTTAATGGACATTCTGAAAGATTTACTGTAATATGCCTTCTAATCCTTGCTATACTGTAATATGCCTACTAATCCTTGATAACCATCACATTCTAAAAGATTTACTTTATTACAAATCCTTGCTATATATCCTTGCGTGCGTGTGTGTGTAATTTTTGTTAGCATGGTTTACATCGCTTGGAGATGTTTAAAACGTGTTGAAATTTTTACCTGGACGCTAAAAAATTGTGTGTTTATGAAACATCCCCACACACATGAACACACCCCTGATGTGGGAAAAAATGTTTCAAGTGCATGACCATGTAACAGTAACATTTGGCTTCAAGTCAAATCCTTGGACATAGAACATAGGTTAGGGAGGTAGTTGTTTTGGGCATAGAACATAGCCTAGGAAAGTAGTTCTTTTGGACATAGAACATAGTCTAGGAAAGTAGTTCTTCTGGACATAGACCTTAGTCTAGGGAAGTAGTTGTTTTGGACATAGACCATAGTCTAGGGAAGTAGTTGTTTAGTGGAGAAGGAGGTAGAAAATCCAATGTTCCAGATATCATCTCCTTGATGAGTTTCTTGTGAAGACTTGGATTTGCCTTTCTACTGGTTCTACTTATTTTGATATATATTGTCAACAGATGTGCTTCTTTAATAAGTTTACTAATTATTATTTATCCTTGGGTAAATTAAATGAACACACCCCTGATGTGGGAAAAAATGTTTCAAGTGCATGACCATGTAACAGTAACATTTGGCTTCAAGTCAAATCCTTGGACATAGAACATAGGTTAGGGAGGTAGTTGTTTTGGGCATAGAACATAGCCTAGGAAAGTAGTTCTTTTGGACATAGAACATAGTCTAGGAAAGTAGTTCTTCTGGACATAGACCTTAGTCTAGGGAAGTAGTTGTTTTGGACATAGACCATAGTCTAGGGAAGTAGTTGTTTAGTGGAGAAGGAGGTAGAAAATCCAATGTTCCAGATATCATCTCCTTGATGAGTTTCTTGTGAAGACTTGGATTTGCCTTTCTACTGGTTCTACTTATTTTGATATATATTGTCAACAGATGTGCTTCTTTAATAAGTTTACTAATTATTATTTATCCTTGGGTAAATTAAATTTGGACACATCACTGGATAAAAATCTCACTTTAGTAGGAACCTCGTGTTTCATATTTTTACAAAGCTTATATCAACTCACTCTGTCTGTTTGTCCATCTGTTTGTCTGATAAAAAGTGTGAACATGTTTTTTCTCCCATTTTCATTCTAGGATCAAGTTAAAACTCTGCACAATTATTCATCTTATTATTCATATTATTAACCTGACAAGACATGAATCAATCAAACAAATTACACAATTAGTGAAATAATTATTGATGATTAATTATTTTGTTTTTTGTTTCAAAATAAGGGGATTAAATGCTACTTAATGAGAGATGTGGAGTATATATTTCTTTATGGATTTAGTCCCCTTATTACGTTTTGACGTTTTTTCTTCCACTTCTTGGATCAAGCTGAAATTTTGCATAATTATTCATAGTCGATAACAATACACAAATCAATCCAAAAATTAACCAATTAATAAATCATTTAGTACTAATTAATTAATTTTGTTTTATATAGCTGAAAGGGGAATAAATCCCTAATTTTCAGATAAATGGGAGTACTTAGTAGTTCCTTCCCTTTGATAATGTTTGTTTTAAAAAAAGTTTTCTTTTTTCTATTGCTTGTTATAATTATATTTTTCAGATCTATCAAAATGGCTACAGGGATACCTAGTTATAAAGTCATCCTCCATGGGGAATATGGTGTTGGAAAAAGTTCCATTTTCAGACGTTTTATGAACAACTCCTTCACAGAGGCCACAGGCAAAGCTTCCACCATTGGGTTGGATCAATGCACCAGAACTATAAATCTGCCATCTCAGACTGTTAAAGTTAGTTACAGTACATTTGATTTTACTTCTGTAATACTTATATCTAAAAAAACAAACATTTTTTTTACTAAATTAGTTGTGAGAACCAATGCATAAAATTCTAAGTACTGCATTTTATTGTTAGAGTAATTGATGTGAACAAAGAGAAAAGGTCAGCATTGTGAAATTATTTATTGAAGCTTTCAATGGTGATTATAAACATCTAATAATCTTGTTTATTTAGTTAATAGAATGCTATTTTGTCAATAAGGTGTTTTTTTCAACTCTTAGAGTGCTGAGTTGTTTTACAGTGAGTGCATAAACAATGGAATTACAATTCTGATGTTTAGAGGCTGAGGGTTAATATATAAAATAGTGTTGATTGGCAAATTAAGCCAAAAAAAAAAAAAGGATTAGAGCAGTTGGTTTGATGTTTAGTAGTCAGTTGGATGACAGCAAAAATTGTTATGCAAATTACTTTTACAATCACAGTTTAAACCATTTGCTTTTAAGTGCTTTGTAAAAATATTGGCTGTAAAATGGAACTAAGTTCTTCTATGTGGTTAAGAATTAAAAGATATTTTTGTGACTCACAAACCTATAATTTTATTTTGAAATTGACATCTTCAATTCTTCTGCATTAGTTTTGAACCAAAATTACAATTTAAAGATGTAAGACCATCTTATTTTATAGAGAAAGATTTATCAGGTCTGTACTGTAAAGGAATTAAAATTTTCATAAATATTACTTTTTTTTAAAATAAAGTTTTGCTAATTGTTTGTTTGTCCAGCTCTCTGCTAAAAAAAGTGTTTTACATGTTTCTCTAGCTCTTTTTAGAAAATTCTTTTTGCTTTAAATATTTTATAATTATTATTTATTTTTTGTTTCAGTTGACACTTTGGGACACTGGTGGTATGGAGCGGATGTCTTTTATTGGATCCAGTTATTACCGTGGCGCTCATGCAGCGCTCTTGTGTTACAGTGTGAACAACAAAGACACATTCTCCATTCTGTCTCAGTACATTTTGGACGTCGTTATGAATGCAGAAGGTGCCAAAATATTTCTCTGTGGCAACATGACTGACCAGGTGTCTTCTGAAGGGAGTGCAAATGTGGTTACAGATGCTGACCTGGAGCAGTTCATGTCCCAGTGCCAGGATGTGTTGTCTGGGGTGTACAGAGTGTCATGTAAAGACTGTATAGGACTGGAGGACATGTTTTACGACATGGCGAAGGTGTTGCACCAAAGTTCTGTGTCCAGGATGACTTTAAGAAGGGACATGATTAGGCCGGGTGACACTCCTGAGAGGGAGGTTGTCAGTGATAAAAGACGATGTTGCTGACATCTTCAGACTTAAACATGTGTTGTGTTTTATGCTATTCTTTAGATCTGGGTCACATTGACTTAAAACTTGCAACTTTACTTCACTGTGGACATACTACCACAAGTGTTTATTATATTCTTTTTTTGTTATTTCACAAGGGAAACAATTTAGAAATAGTAAAGGCATACTATTTCTTGTATGAAAATAAGAAGGGAGCAATGTGTGTAATATGTTCAACTGCATGCAGTTAATCCCATTTTAAACTGAATTTTATTTTTTACATATTTTTATTTGAAATAAACAGAAATAGTGTTATCTGAGAGGCTGTTGTGCAAGGGGAAACATAAACTGTTTTCCTAAATATTATTTCTGTAGTTTTGAGTTAAAAATTTAAAAAATTGTTTTATGTAAATCATTTGTAATAAATGTTTGCTTTTAGCTTTAGAAATGCTATAAAACATATGTACGGTATTATGTTATGACTGCTGATAGATCATCATAATTTTTTATTTATGTTATTTTTCAATTTTCTTTTGACTATTCCTAACTTAATCTAGGAAATAAAAAATTCATATTTTCTTTTGCTAATAATATTTTCACTCACACTGTAGATCTTTTATTAAAATCTGAATTGTTCCCTCACCTTTAAAAAAATGTTCCCTTTCAGACCTTGTGATCTATAGGGCAGATGATGTTAAGGTCATCTGTTATTTTTGGCCAAAAGTTAACGAGCACCTTTAACATATGGCTTTTTCAGTCTGTGATATGCCTTCACATGATTGCTGAAATATAAAAAAAAAAACAACAACATTTTGAATTAACAATATATATCTAACTGTGACAGTGTGTCTTGACAAACCTGTTTCAGTCATAACATCTAGCCATCTTTTGCCACAATTTTTTTAACTCATAATAAATGTATCCTTAACCTAATGGAGTCTATTTTTATAATATTATCAACCTACTATAGCGTCTTGATATGTAAACAAATCAGAACTTTTGCTCTTTTCCTTGTAAGGTGTAGATTAAGTTTAAAGAAATTGATTTGTTGATTGTTGATTCAAAAATCTTACTTAGCGTCCCTGTTGTTTTGTGTTAATGCCTGGACTTGAATTATAACTTAAACAAAAATTGTTTATCACTTTCTAATAACTTACTAAACTCCCTCTCTTTTCATTGTGTATAGCTTCAGTGAAATCATGTTATTAAATATAACATGAACACATTCTTTATAACGTAGCTACCATTTTGTTTAAGTAATGTATGTTCTTTTTATGATCAAATCTGGAACTGCATTTATATCTCTAAGGGACATTATCTCCCTTTTCATGCCATTTAAAATGTTTTTTTTTCCCATGTGCAGTGGTAGTCTCCAGAAAAAACTTGCTGTCTTTTGTTGCTTCCATATGTGCCAAGTATTTGAATTTGTATTGTACATAAAATACTTTGTCATTTTAGCCTGATTGTAGTTTTTCATTAAAATAGGGTTAGTCACTTATTGTACTGTCATAATACTAGCTCAAGGGATGGCACAGAAATTTTGGATAACTTTTTTGTTTCCTTTTAGTCTGTACTCCAGCTCACTAAAAATTGCTGCTGCATCATATGAACAAAAAAAATAACTTTAATAGATTTAAATATTTTCTATTACTGAAATGCAATTTTTAAATAAACATATTTTGAATTACAGGTTTATGTTACCTCTTCTTTTACCCTCACCATAGCTTTTAACATCTTTTAACATGTTGTGGGACCTGCTTTGAATAAATTATAAATAATAATAATAAATAATGATTTACTTTTATAGAATATTTTTAAGCTTTAAAACTAAAGCGCAGAAAAGGATAGTGAACCCTAATGATATTTAACTCTTTCTCTCCTAATTGATGATACCATCATTTATTTGACGTCATTAAATTAAATTGATGTTTCATTTCATAAACTTTACTTTGTGTTATATAAAAAGAGTATGCTTCCTCTTTAATTCTATAGCAAATAAAACATTTTCTGATAGCAAAGAAAAAGTTATTGAAGCTTAATCATAACATGGTATTGAAATAGTAATGAGCAAAATGAAGAATTCCGTCTGAATGTGGACAAATAATTGCAGAGAGAAAGAGTTAATACCAGCAGAGGTAAAAAAAAATTGATAGTCTCAGTGTAACTGCTTTCGTAATCCAAACTTGATCAAAGAACCACAGAACCTTTCCTACAATCTTATGGATTAATATTGTTCACCATTCTAGTACATATCAAAAGTAGTGTTGACTCATTTTAGGAGGAAACAAAGAAAATTTTTCCTCACGTTTTTTAAAATCTGTTTTGACATGTATTTGAATCCTTAATGGATGCTCTGATGTTTGAAAGATGCAGCAAAATAAAGAGAATTGTAGATAAACATATTTTATTTCATGATAAAAGTGGCTTAGTAAACATTTTTAAACTTTACAGGAATTGCTTGAGCAGTTGGAAATTTTCAAATTTTTTGGTCACATGTTGGTATCACTGATTATGTAAAATATAAAATGAAACATCCTTTCTTTTGAATTGGACATTTTTTTGGGTAGGAAGAAATATAGATGAACTTAGGCTCTCATTAGTGCCTCTTGATATAGTTCTTAAACATGAAACTAAATGCAAGTTAATAACTTTATTATCCCATGAGTTCTGTCATTTATGCAAATGTTAAATTGGTTTAGTTTTTGAAATACATTTTTAGAGTTGTCATCATATTTTGTACTTTTTTTTTTTTTTTTATTAATGCAGCATTTGGACCAATGAATGAGTATTGTTCATTGAATTATAGTGTAAAGAGGAAAAAAAAAAGATATTATTTTGTCATCTCTAATTCTGTATTTTTGTTTTTTCACGTCAGATTTTGTGTGTCTTTATGTTTTTGTTTTTTTTTCAGGTCAGATTTTGTGTGTCTGTATGTTTTTTTTTTTTTTTTTTCAGGTCAGATTTTGTGTGTCTTTATGTTTGTTTTCTTTTTTTTTTTCAGGTCAGATTTTGTGTGTCTTTATGTTTGTTTTCTTTTTTTTAAAGTCAGATTTTGTGTGTCTTTATGTTTGTTTTCTTTTTTTTTTTCAGGTCAGATTTTGTGTGTCTTTATGTTTGTTTTCTTTTTTTTTTTTCAGGTCAGATTTTGTGTGTCTTTATGTTTGTTTTCTTTTTTTTTTAAGTCAGATTTTGTGTGTCTTTATGTTTGTTTTCTTTTTTTTTTCAGGTCAGATTTTGTGTGTCTTTATGTTTGTTTTCTTTTTTTTTTCAGTTCAGATTTTGTGTGTCTTTATGTTTGTTTTCTTTTTTTTTTTCAGGTCAGATTTTGTGTGTCTTTATGTTTGTTTTCTTTTTTTTTTAAGTCAGATTTTGTGTGTCTTTATGTTTGTTTTCTTTTTTTTTTTCAGGTCAGATTTTGTGTGTCTTTATGTTTGTTTTCTTTTTTTTTTAAGTCAGATTTTGTGTGTCTTTATGTTTGTTTTCTTTTTTTTTTAAGTCAGATTTTGTGTGTCTTTATGTTTGTTTTCTTTTTTTTTTTCAGGTCAGATTTTGTGTGTCTTTATGTTTGTTTTCTTTTTTTTTTAAGTCAGATTTTGTGTGTCTTTATGTTTGTTTTCTTTTTTTTTTCAGGTCAGATTTTGTGTGTCTTTATGTTTGTTTTCTTTTTTTTTTCAGTTCAGATTTTGTGTGTCTTTATGTTTGTTTTCTTTTTTTTTTCTGGACAGATTTTGTGTGTCTTTATGTTTGTTTTCTTATAATTGCTTATGTTTCTTTGGAAATGAAGAATATATATATATATATCTTATTGCTAATTAACTGTAGATTTCTGATAATTTCCTTTAGAAAAGATACCAACAACAAAGCTAGACAGTCCTTAAAGTCTAGTTAGATCAGAGTTGGTCAGTCAGTCTGTGTTGTCTTCTGCTGTAGTTTTAAATTCAGCTAGTCCCCCCCTCCTTTACTTCCCTTGGTCTATCAAATTATTGTCCTCCCGAATCAGTTCCAAAAGTACACTTTTCAACATTTTTATTTTCTCCTTTTTTTTCAAAAATATACCTTTTTCCTTCATGTTTTTTTTTTTTGGCGGGCTTTTTAAACATTTAGAAATTATTTACGACCATACGACCAAAATACTTAGGTGTTATAATAAAGGAACTTACATGGAATCCCCATATTGATGAAACTATTAAAAAATCAACTAAATTAATTAAACAAATTTATTAATTACAAGAAATTTCTGTAAATCAAATAAGAACATAAATCTAAAAATTTTATTTAACATTGGCTAGGCCAATAATAGAATATGCATCCTCTGTTTGGGACCCCTCAACTCAAGAAAACATTAAGAAACTGGAACAGACACAAAATAGAGCAGTTAGATTCATAACAAACGAATATTCACAACAAATGAATATTCACATTTGACTAGAGTAACACCTTTAGTAAAATCACTAAATTTAGAAAGTTCAGGAGAGCAGACTCAAAGGTAAAGTAGCAATTATACATAAAAACACTGAGCCATAATCTTCAAATAAAAAAACAGAATCTATTGAAATACTCAGAAAGACACAAAGATAAAGTCACATTCCTCGTTCCATATGCTAGGACAAATTTGTACAAATACCTCTTCTTCCCTAGTGCTATTAGAGCATGGAATGGGTTGCCTGAGCCAGCCAGAAAAACCAGTGCCTTGGCAGAATTTAGGTCATTGGTTAACATGCATGACGCTAGGACGTATAATCATCTTCTTTTTTTGAAGTAACGTCTGTATTTAATAAGATGATATTAGGTGTGTATCACCATGCACTTTATCTGCGTCTTAACAATGTTTGTGATGTATAAGATGATATAATGACTAATACTCGTACATTTTGTTGCCAGGCTCTAGGTATAACTTTGTATATTCCCTCTCTCTCTCTCCCTCTTCTCTACATCTAATTCTAATATGGGTGCTTATCTTCGTTCATTTACTTTCCTGCTCTTGTTTTATTATATGTAGGAGCTTCTGTTTCTCTATTATATTTTATCTTTCTCATTATTTTCACTTCACCCCCCCCCCCGTCTCTCTCTCTCTCTCTCTCATAAATTCGTTTTCCTGGTGCCTCATTCATGTCCATTCCTTATATAAATCTTTTTTTTTCTTTTTCATCTATTTCAAATTGCTACTAAAACACAACTTTCTTTCTTGCTAGCTACTTTGTCATAATGGGTTTCTTAATAACATAAAAGTATTTGACATTAGGCCAGTAATGATTTCTGATTGGCTATCAATCTGGTTAGGGTTATCAAGTTAAGCAAGAAGTCGAGATTTGGTTCGACAGGTAAGTAAAAAAACAACAACTGAGCAGTAACAAGATTATAGCCCCTCTCTTTTTTTTTTTCTCCAGCTTTACGAAACTATTACAAAATTCGTTCATGTGGAAGAAAGGAGTTGATGTTTTCATATCAACCACCTGAAATGTAGCAACATTTATCTGAAACTAGTTTGGTACTGTAGTATTATTGGCATGTGTTATAGGCCTACGTGAGTGTTTAGTATTTTGTATGTTCAATGTACACAGCGGACAGAGAAAATATAAAGCATTTAAAACAAAATAACACACATTTCGTATTTTTAAAGCTCTCCCCCCCCCCAAGACTACTTATTTTCAATATGCGGTCTATATAAAAACCATGATAAAAACCAATCCTAATAGCATTAATGAGATAATATAGACCTAGAGTAATTTTTCGAGAGACAGAGAGAGAATGGGCTAAGTAATGGTACCTTGTAACACTGTCAAAAAACAACCACAACTAATCCTAATAGCATTGAAAAGATGAATCGAGATCAATTGTCATTTCTCTACATTCAAAAGTGTTCAAATAAACTATTACAATTAATAAAACCTAATTGATGTATCTTTATTTTTTTTTTAGAGAACAAAATACAAAGAGAATGGTAGAAATGGGAAAGAGGATTTTTACGAAGGACAAAATTTGTGTTGTTGGCGGTGGTGGATTTGGAGGGAGGGATAAGCAAAACTCTGCAAAAGTGCTACTAAAATTAACGGGCTCTAAATGTGAGCGCCAATATATAAGTCGGGGGTGCATTATGAGGCTTTCCTTTACAAATCAAATCAAAAGTCTATATGGGAGAAATTACGATGCGCAAGTAAAATAAAATAGGGGAGCCAGAGAGAGAGAAGGAAAGAGAGAGCGGGCCGTGAAATATTACTGTGACAGTTACACTAATTCACGGGCTAAAGATATGTTAGTTTGATCGTTAAAATGAGGTCCGTTTATAAAGAAAAAAAAAAGGTGTTCCGGCCATAATAAGCAATGAAATGCCTGGGACAAATCAACGGGCGCAGCTGGTGCGTAATGCTAGTTATTTATATTTTAGCAAATTTCTATATTATGTCAACTACCCTCCAGTGGTATATTGGTTGATTTGGTGGGGTGGGAAGCGATTGCCCATAACAATTAAATGTGCAGACGGGACAAAAGGTCTATGATAATGAGTGCAAGGTCAAGGTGCGTGAGTTAGATGAGGTCACAAAAAGTAAAGGTGAACGTGAAGATTGCATGGAAGGAATGTTCCAGGGATTTTTGGGGAGATTGTTTAAGGAGGTATAGTTTTTCTTTTTTGGTAATAGTGAGAGCTTCGATAGTAGGATCTAGTTACTTTTTACGGCGCGACTATACAAAATCTGCTAACATACGGAATAACTTGTTGGCAAGGCAACGCTTCATCTAAACTGTTGCAACGTCTAGAAAACATCATAAAAAGGGCATCAAAAATTACACTCACATCATTACCATATTTAAAGGAACTTTTTGAACAGAAGTGTCTAAGAAAAATCGAAAAAATATTGGAAGACAACGGCCACCCGCTCCATCAGAACTACGTCAGGTCGTCGCGAATTTAAGTGGGCGACTGCTGTCAATCAAAACAAGAACAGAGCGATACAAAAACTCGTTCGTACCTCACTCGGTCAGACTATATCACCGCCACTCGTTGATCAGGGAACATGAAAAGCACCAAGATGCCTGTGTGTAATCGTTGAATTTATGTTCTTTATGTTCTGTCTGTTGTATTTATGTGTATTTTTTTCTGTTGTGTTGTCTTTATATGAGAAAAGAGCCCTTGTAATCACAACACATTTCCGTAAGGATCAATAAAGCAGTCTTAGTCTTAGTCTTAGTTGAGAAACAAAGTTTTTTAGTTTTATTTGCCCATCACTGATATTATAGTATCCTCAGTATCCTGTATCTGAACTGTATTTACTGTATCTATATTTATTGTTCAAGTTCAAGTTTAAATGAATTAAACTCAAGAAAATTATATCTACACTATTTCATTTTATTGTATTTTAGTAGTGTTTGACTTGTATCAAAGGCACGTCCAAATCCGCATGTCATATGATTTGGAGAATTTACTGGTGTAACATAAGTTATTCAAATAACATCGTGATACCCCTCCGATCCACCAGTCAGTCATCGAACCAATTGTCAGGTGAACGAATTGTCGGTCAACTATTTGTCGTGTTCCCATACCTGCATGAGCGCTTTCTTACTTTTCACAAAGGCGATTACAATGCACAAACGCACTCTGACGTCTGCGGTTCACTATATCCCTCCTAGAAAAACGTTAAAATACTTTTTTGTTGTTTTTTTAAACAATACCTCCATTATGCAACTTATAGAGCTATTGTTTTTCTCTTAAAATTAATGAATGTTAGATTAAAAACAATAGAACACTGTGTTACACCCCTTTTTTCCCCCTTCTCCCCGAGAAAGAACCATAGTTAAGAGAATGTATAGATCTAGTACACTATAACATTCCAATGATAAGCATTTATATATTGTCTATGTGTAG